ACAAGGATGCTTAAGGCCGATGTCTATAATGACCTCATAGACGAATGGCAGCAACGCTGGGACGAATCATCCAAGGGTCGCCATCTTTACCAATTTTTTCCATCTGTTCGCGAACGGTTGTCGAGGACATGGCTTGAGGTGGATCACTGTGTCGCTCAATTTCTTACGGGTCATGGTAACTTTAAGAGCAAGTTGTATTCATTTAAATTAGTCGAGTCACCATTGTGTCAATGCTCAACACCTAACTCTCATTATGAACAATCTGCTCATCATATCCTCTGGGAATGTAGTCTTTGGTATAATGAACGTAATATAATGCTGAATAGCTTGCAGGTGACATCTGGGGCGGTATACTATGGGGATCTTGTGTCAACTAGGGTGAATTTCCGTGCGATTAGGCGATTCTGCCATACATATTATAGAAATCAAATATAGCTCATGTAGGACCCGTAATATTTTGTGGCCGTGGTGCTTCCCTGTTTAAAAGGGTGTATGCCTATTTTACCTTATTTTGTCTCCCGCTTTGCTAAGGAGGGAAGTGGATTTACTGTATTTCCAACTCCTCCAATTTTCTTCTGATTAATTTCGTTGCGGGTTCCAAGACAGTTTAATTTCTTCCTGGGACTTCCCGAGTGTCATAACTCGGTGTGTTCGTGGGTCACTGCTGTGGATCCTGGTGTACAGGAGTTACAGTGGTGGGCGTGTGGGTGGGATTAGTCCCATTTATAAAGACCTTGCACCTACCCACTATTACTTTTTCCAAAATTTAGACAACTTTTTAGTGGGTAAAAAAATTAAATTCCCGAGAGGCAGTACAAAATACCTTTGAAGAGTTTGTTGCCTCCCGTCCAGCTGATTTTTACAAGAAGGGCATCAATAAACTGCCAATACGTTGGCAAAGACGCGTTGATTGCATGGATGATTACTTCGAATAACAGAAATAAAAAAGTTTGAAAAAATAAGTACTTTAACTTATTGCATACAAAACGGCAATTTATAGGTAAAGACCTAATAATTCAGTGATAAATGTATGATTCATTTCGGTATAAATTTGCTAGTGTTTGAAATATTATCACTCTAGTTTCGGACAGAAAAGTTTGTATTGCAGTTGCTGCCGGTAAGTTGGTTATTATTACTCATCATTTAATATACATTATAACTTTTGCGTATATAATAACTTTTGACCAGTATTTTTTTTCATTTAATGAAAAACACTAAATATTACGGATTGGGCCATCTAGCGATTGGGATAGACGACGACGACGCAAACAAGTATACATACTTGTTACACTGTATATACTGCCTCGATCTGTTCAGCACACCGAGCTTCTTCCAGGCCAATTTGACCTTACCCTCTAAGTGACCCCGAAACTGGAATTCGCTCAATATATCGATGCCTAGGATGCCGATACTGGCTGAGGCAGTTAGGAAGGTGCTCTCAAACCGAGGTGATACGACAAATGGTATCTTCTTTGCGGTGAATGCACAGACCTGTGTCTTTTTTGGGTTGAAGTTTACTAGATTTAGTATATAGAGTGCTGCGCTAGCGCAGCGCCCTAGCTATTACATTACGTTACGCCGCGTACCGACCCGTACGGCACTAACCTTTGCCTGTCACGATCTTATAAATGTCCAGATTTACGGTCATAACTTGTTGTAAATTATATAAAGCAAAGCTATACATAAAAAAATTAAAAAGCACGCTATGGTAACACAAAGATTTTGGTTATCAATCATTTGAAACCGTACAAAAACTTTAAACGAAATCATTTGTTGGATGTCAAATCAAATTCATCAGGCAATGTCAGAGCCTTAATTGCAGAAAAAATACCACTTATTATCTTTTCTCTTTCTTACAATTTTCAGCTACCACACGAATCTTCAAACCATCTGCGAGGATCGTAGGCGGCACAGTCACGTCTATTGAGCGATGGCCTTACCAAGCCAATGTTATGTATAAATATAGTCATTATTTTTTTCAATGGTGTGGTGGTACTATCATTAACAACAGATTCGTTTTAACCGCAGCACACTGTGTTCTCTTACCTTATGAGTAAGAAAAAAAAATTTTTTCACTTTATTGAACAATGGCAAATTCTTATTTGACTATAATTTGAGCGTCTTAAAATGTCATTCATAGATAACTCATTCTAGTAAATATCTACGTTTTTTTAAACCATCGTCTAAGTCAGCAAGACATGAGGAAAAAAAAGGTTTTTGATTATTTTAATTTAATTTATCTATTTTAATTTAATATTTTGATTATTTTACTTTCAAGTAGCGGAAATACTGTCCAATAAAGTGTCGTAATATGTTGTTCACTTATAGTTTTATCATTGTAATCAGTTAATCAATAAAGAATTGTAGTTTGTGATACACTTTTAAATGCATATTTTTTATTAACGCATTTGAAAATCATGTAGAAGAATATAAAGAACTAAAAAAATAAAGAGATAACTACAAGCAAACAAAAAAGAAAAGTATTTTTGACAATTGACAATTGACAACAATTGACAACAGACGCTTGCGCTCTGTTTAACAGCAGCAGCGGCAAAAAAGCGTGCCAGCTTTTTAAAAAGGATTCTGTCGCGTCGTTCGTTTGGTTAGCACGTGCGTCTAGAATTTTTTCAAACCTTTGGTGATTTTGTGACTATTGGGTCTTTTTTTTTGTTATTTTGTGCTGTCCTTGGTTACGGTGTGTTGTTTGTAACTAAATATTATTACCGGTAAGTGAACATGAACGGAAATAAACCGCCCGACCCTCCCGATATTCCATGTCCAGTAACCCCTCCTTTCACCCCTATTCCTCCCTTACCCGATCAACCTTCAACCCCTTCCAACCCCTTAGAACAGTTTGCCAATGTGGTCTGCAACGCTACGGTGGAAGAAACCAGGCCCCTCGTTTCTACCTCACGGAAACGAAATGGGAACGATGAGGTAAGTGCCCCCCCTCTTAAACGTCTCCAAACTCAAACGAAAACCTTTGTCAGTCGTGACAAATACACAAACAATGACAGTGGTCCCTACATGGTACATGTTTCTCGCGTGGAGAGCCAGTTAGGCTCTGGTACTACTCTCCATCCTGTTTCGTTTGGACTTTTTCTTTTTAAAAACAATATAAGTAATATTGTCAGAGATGGTATTAAAAAAGTTGGAAGGAATAGAGTATCCGTACAGTTTTCATCCCCTCAGGATGCTAATGCATTCCTAATTAACCCCCTCTTAAATATTTGTAAATTCACTGCCAGCATTCCTACTTATAACATTACCAGAATGGGTGTTGTTTCTGGTATCCCTACCGACATGAATGATGATGAAGTAATTAAATTTGTGACAGTGCCGCAGGGCTGTGGGCAGATTATTAAAGTCAGGCGTCTTAACCGAAAATCATTTAATGAAGGTATCTTGGAGTGGAAGCCAACAGAATCCTGTGTCCTCACTTTTGATGGCCAGGTTCTACCTAAACGAGTTTTCTGCTGCTATAATTCTCTTCCGGTACAGCAATATATTTACCCCACCGTCCAATGTAGGAAATGCTGCAGGTTTGGTCATGTGGAGTCTATCTGCAGATCTAGGCCTAGATGCAACAAGTGCGGACATGAGCATCCCAGTAACGAATGTGAGGTAACAGAAACGGGGGCCTTTTGTGTCCTATGCTCTGGTGGTCACTTTGCCAACAGCAAGGCTTGCCCGGAGTATGGCAGGCAGAGGGCCATTAAGATCATGATGGCGGAAAAAAACATTTCCTATATGGAAGCAAATAAAGTGGTCCCTTCTACTACTCGCAGCTATGCTGATACCCTAAAGACCCCACAATTTACCCAATCCTCTCAGCCCACCCAAACCCATCCAGTTTACCCAGACCCTTCAGTCTACCCAACCCCCTCAACAAACCCAGTCCTACCGAAAAACTGTTCTTCGGCAGCCTAAACCTCGCCCTACACTATCCAAATCCTATGATATAACTGCACACCAATCTATCATCCACTCTCCCCAACCTTCTCAACCCAATGGTTGTGCTCTTAACTCATCACTCGAGACTTCTACTATTGACCTTATAATACAGCTTTTGACTTCTCTATTAACCTCCAATTTACCTCTATCTCAATCCCCTTCTAGTATACCGTCCAACGTTGCCAACACACTCATCAACTTATTAACCAACTTTAAAAATGGCATCCCAACAAGTATTCCTACAGTGGAATGTGAGGAGTGTGTTTCATAAGAAGCACGACCTCATATTCTTGTTGAATAAATACAAGCCTTTGGCTGTCTCTCTTGCTGAGACTTGGCTTCTACCGGGTCTCAACTTCCATGTTCCAAATTTCAACATGCTTAGATGCGACAGGTCTGATGGTTACGGAGGTGCAGCCCTCCTTATAAATAACAGAGTCCCTCTATTACCCCTCCCCTTACCCCCATTCCCAGATGATATCAGCATTGTAGCAGCGAAAATCAGTAGTGTATCTGTGCTTTCCATCTACATTGCTCACCCCCAGCAGAGTTTCCTCCCTATATTGAGAGACTTGCTACAGAGCCTACGGAGCCCAATATTAGTTATGGGAGATTTCAACTGCCATCACTTTAGATGGGGATCTGAGCACTGTGACAGTTTTGGCATTGGTTTGTTAGAGATCATTGATGATTTGAACCTCTGTGTTCTCAATAACGGCTGCTCCACTCGTAGAGTCCTCCCTGGTCAGAACAAAAGCTGTGTAGATTTGACCATTTGCTCCCTGGAAGTTGCTGCGGCTGCTTGCTGGCGGTGCACGGATTTGTCTCATGGTAGCGATCATTACCCAATATTATTATCCCTCCCCTAGCTCAACTCACCTGGAAAAATCATGCCCTCCCCTCTTAAAATATAACCTCTCGGAAGCTGACTGGCAAAATTTCTCTCAAATCCTTGAATCCAATGTTCATACCCTCCCTAGATTTGACTACAGATCCCTATCCTACGATGATCGCGGCCATGTGACGGACTATTGTGATGCCTTTGTGGATGCAATTAGGTCAAGTGCGGACAGCTGCTTTAAAATTAAGAATTCCTCTAGGGGCAAAATCCCCTCACCCCCTTGGTGGGACAGTGAGTGTACTAATGCCATTAGGCTAAGAAAAGAGTCCGAAAGGAGATACAATGCTCACATGTCAACTCAAAATTTACTAAATTATCAAAATGTTTTTTGCTTCTACCAAGCGACTCCTCCGACGCAAAAAGCGCATTGGTTGGATTAGCTTCTGCTCCTCTTTGTCCCCATCTACTCCATCTTCTATTGTGTGGAAGAACATAAATCGGTTCCGGTCTGGATGCTCTCCCTCAGCGTCTTCCTCTATCTCCACAGACACAGCTGAACTCCTCCTAGACAAAATTGCCCCCCCCTTATGTCCCACATCTAGATGAAGTCTCCCAACCAAGTGTTCCAACTCAGTCGCTAGGTACTCACGATGAGCCTTTCTCCTTGGATGGAGCTGAACATGGTTCTTCACATTGTGCGAGACTCTGCTCCTGGCATGGATGGTATCCCATACTCTTTTATAGCCAATGCTAGCTCTAGTACAAAATCCTACTTTCTAAACATTTTAAATTTTTGCTATACCAATGGTTGGGTCCCGGATAAGTGGAAGGTTCAAATAATTATTCCCATTTTGAAACCTGGCAAACATGCAGGAGACCCAAACAGCTTCAGACCAGTTGCTTTATCATCAGTTTTACCCTAAATTACTTGAACACCTTATTAAATCCGTCTTGAGTGGATTGTGGAATCAAGGAATCTACTACCTAATTATCAGTTTGGCTTCCGTAAAGGTCTTAGTACCATGGACAGTGTTGCCGGTGTTGGTAACCGATATCCGTCTTTCTCTGTCGCAGGGTGCGTCCACTAGTAACATCTTTTCTCGACATAACTGCGGCATATGACAATGTCCCTACTACCCATTCTCAGGCAAAAACTGCACCAGCTGAGACTTCCGGTCAGAATGATCCATTGCATATGTGCAATGCTTGTGTCTCGAACTCTAGTCCTAAGGATCTTAGGAGAGGAGTTCGACCAGAGAAAGACGTGGAGGGGCTTGCCACAGGGCTCTGTACTGAGTCCTCTATTGTACAACCTGTTACACTGCAGATATGGGCTCATGTTTTAAACAATGATTGCAGTATACTGCAATACGCCGACGATCTGGCATTGTATGTAACCAGCCATTCCATCCAAGATGCAGCCACATCGCTCACAACCTCCCTTAATTCTCTGTGGCGGTGGCTATCATCCCACGGCCTTAGCCTCTCTGCCACAGAAGAGCGCAGTCGTTGTCTTTACTGGAAAGAAGACTCTGCCACAGATTGATGTCAAAGTACAGCTGCAGGAAATTCCTCTCGTTAATAAATTTAAATTCCTCGGGGTATATTTAGATTCTAAGTTGACTGGCGTTCACCACATTAACCATCTAGCCTCAAAAATGTGAACGAACTATCCCAATTTTAAAGGCCCTGGCCGGAGTTTGGTGGGGAGGCCCATCCATACACCATGAAGCTAGTGTACAATGCCTTAGTGCGCAGCATATTGGACTATGGTGTTTTCCTACTGGTTCCATGCAATAAAGGCGTGTGATGGTACCTCAAATACCCTAGCCTGAGTAAGGCAGTTTTTCAACTATTAAACACGTAGCCAGCTCCCCTCCCTGTGGGGGGAGGTCTAACGCTCCTCCAACCGCGCCAGGCTGTAAGACTCGACCCTGACTGGACATCTTCCCACTGGCTTTTTAACGTTCGAATAAACAACAAAAGACCGCGATAAGAGGGAATCAAAGTCTAAATGAAATAATTAAATACATTGGTATTGGTTGTGTTTATCCTATCAGGCTTTCATCCATTGTGCACTTAAGCTTAAAGTGAGGTCAATCAACTTCTA